GGCTCCCTGCTCAGCGGGAAGCCTGCTTCTCCCTCTTCCACTCCCCCTGTTTGTATTCCCTCTCTCGCTGTGTCTCTCTCTGTCAAATAAATAAAAAAAAAATCTTAAAAAAAAAAAAAACTGGATAGCTATTTGCAAAAGAATAGGATGGGATATCAACTCCCCACTATACATAAAAATTAACTGAAAATGGATCAGAATAAAAATGGATCAGAGACCTAAATTTAAGAGCTAAAACTATATAGTTCTTAAAAAAATAGGAGTAAATATTTATGACCTAGGATTAGGTAATGGTGTTATACATAAAATACACACACACACACGAGAAAAATTAAACTAATCAAAAAATAAAAACTTTTTTTGTTACAAAACAACATCAAGTGAAGGCAACTCACAAAATGAAAGAAAATATTTATGAATTATCTATCTGAAAAAGGACTTGTATCCAGAATATATAAAGAACACTTATAACTGAATAATAAAAAAGAGGAACCATTTAAAACACAGGCAAAGGATTTAAACATTTTTCCAAAGAAGATATACAAGCCAGTAAGCACATGAAAGGATGCTCAACATCAGTAGTCATTATGTAAATGCAAATGACAACTACAATGAGAGACCATTTTACCCTTAGGATGACTATAATCAAAGACATACAATAACAATATTGTCATGGAGGTGGAGAAATTAGAACTCCCTTACAATGGTGGTGAGAACAGAAAATGGTGCCTAGCAGTTTGGCAGCTCCTCAAAATGCTGTTTAACATAGTTACTATATGGCCAAGCAAGCCACTCATAACCGAAAGAAATGAAACAACTGGTCTGCCCAAAAACTTGTCCTTGAATGTTCACAGTAACGTTACTCAAAGGAGCTACAAAATGGAAACAAATCAAATATTTATCAACAGATGAACAGATTAACAAAATGTAGTATGTCCATTAACACTGGAATATTATTCAGACATAAAAAGGAAAGAAGTACTGATACATACTACAACATGACTATACCCAGAAAATATTATGCTAAGTAAAAGAAACCAGTCACAAAAAGTCACCCACTGTATGATTCCATTTATATGAAATGTCCAGAATACGCAAATCTCTAAGACAGAAAGTAGATAAATGGTTGCTCGCTTCAGCAGCACATATACTAAAATTGGTTGCCTAGAGCTGGAGGTGGGAAGGGTAAAATGAGTGACTGCTTGTGAACATAAGGTTTCTTTCAGAGGGGAAGAAAAGAACCTAAAATTAGACTGTGGTGACGGTTGTACAACCTTTTGAATAAAGACCATTTAACTGAATACTTTAAATGGATGAACTGTACAATAAATGAGTATCTCAGTAAAGCTGCTAAAAAATTATATACACATTTATACACAAAACACTATTCATCCAAATGTGAGCCTCCCTTACCCACCAAAAGGACTCACAACATTTATCTCCTGTCTTACCTTTTAAGGGCATCTTTGAGTTCAGGCACAGAACGAATACACTGAACTGTAGCATTCATGTAACAAGTGTTGCCAAGGTTTGTCAATCCACATGGTAATTCCATCTGATAAGGACAAGGATTAACACATTTTTATAAAATGACATAGCATATAAAATCACTAAAGTTCACACTTTGAAGTATAATTTACCAACTCATACCAATTTATTCCAACTTTACCCAAAAGTAACAATGTTTTATACTCCTAACAGAAATGTTCACTTGCATTATGTTGAGAAACATTCTGTGTTTTAATTCCCTTCTCAAAAATAATAAGTGATCAATCAAATCAGTCTTGCCCCCCGCCTTTGAAGGGTTATCATTAGAATGGGGTACAAAGTATACATAGAAACACTTCAAAAAAAGAAAATAATACTATAAAAATGCTAGATGGTAAAAAAATAACATTTGACAAGTGTGTGCTGACCAGTTTTCTAAACCAATGTTGCAGTTAAAGATAAACTGTATGTATTTTCAGCAAAGTTTTAAGACTTTTAACATCCCAGCATTTAAACTATTTATCCTCTATAAGCCTCTTTTCCCATAAAATAATAGCACTGTTAGCACTGCCCAATACTTATTAAAGACACTGACTGATTTTACACTGACAAGGACTCCTCAAAAGCCAATTTCAAAAATAAAACCTTTTACCTCTAAAACATACATATTGGGGAGCCTCAGGTCAGGCTCCACACTGAGTGTGGAGTCTGCTGGAAATTCTCCCTCTCCCTCTGTCCCCTCCCAACTCACGCATGCGCTCTCTCTAAATAAATAAAATCTTTAAAATAAACAAAAACATACATCTTGATATTGCCGATTAAATCTTCAAAACACTTATTTAAGACTTATTTATTTTAGGGAGAGAGTGTGTGCACTTGAGCGGAGGGAAGGGGCAAAGGGAGAGGGAGAGAATCTCAAGCAGACTCCTCTCAGAGGTGGAGCCCATCACAGGGCTTGATCCCACGACCCTGAGATCATGACCTGAGCCGAAATCAAGAGTCAGACACTTAACCGACTAAGCTACCCAGGTGCCCCAAATCTTTAAAACATTTAGATGCTACTTTCTGAAAGACATCTTGGTACCTGTAGCAATCAAATATATGAAACGTGGTATATCTTACCGCAGATGCTAACTGTTCTTCTGTCATGTCTTCTACAAAGACAGTTTTAGCTGAGGGTTCCTCAGGAAGAGCATCTGCTGACCCCATCATTAGTAGAGTCATTCCCTGTTTTAAAAAAAATTTAATTTCATAAAAATGCTCAAAAGTTGATAATGTTTATGTCTAATGAAAGAAGCCAGACACAGAATAATAAAACATATTGTATGCTTATATTTGCCAGAAAAGGTAAATATACAGAGACACAAAGTAGACTGGGGATTGCTAGGGCTAAAGGTGGGAAGAGGGAGTGACTTTAAACAGACATCTATTATTTTCTGGGGTGATGGAAATGTTCTAAAATTAGATTGTGGTGAAGGTTACACAATCTTGTCAATATACTAAAAATCACTAACAGTTAAAAAAAAAAAAAAAAAGTACTGAGGTGGCTGCTCCAGGCCAGAGGTCACCTGCTTATACACAAAGGGGCACAAGGAAACTTTTCAGAATGGTGGATCTTCTGTATCTTGATTGTGTGGTGGTGGTTACGTGACTGTATTAAACTAACGAAATCCAAACTGTACACAAAAAATAGGTGAATTTTAATCCATATAAATTATACTTCAATGAAGCTAGGGGAAAACTAAATACTGTCACAAAGACAGCTGAGAATGCTACAATATTGGAGGGGAGGGAATTCTCGAAATGATCATTAACATTTAGTGGAATCACTTCTCCCCATAACAAACAAAACGCAGTGTTCTTTCTGTGAATGTCTATTGTATAACTGTAACAATTATTTACAAAGGAATAGATTTTGAGAGCACCAAATCCTCCATTATTGGAAAACATCACATCAAACACATTAATTAGCTCAAAATATCCAATTTTATAATTCTACATTATTAACCTAAGGGAATATTCATATTCAACACATATGTAACATTCCATACAACAGAACAACAATGAAGAAGACACTGTCCCCTAAATCACATAATCCTGAAATGTTAACAATATCTTACTCTGGAAGACATAAACGGAACACAAAGAAAAGAGTAGGGAGGTTTAAAAAAAAGAGCCAGAAGTGGAGATTTAAGAAGAAAAAAGTAAGAGAAGATAAAAATTTCCAGATGAGGATTAAAATTAGAAAATAAGGTTGGGGCGCCCAGCTGGCTTAGTCAGTAGAGCATGGACTCTTGAGCTCAGGATTTTAAGTCTGAGCCCCATGTTGGGTGTAGAGATTACTTAAAAATAAAATCTGGAAAAAAAATTTTTTATAAGAAAATAAGGATAACAAACTCAGTCCTGAGAGCACCTATGCTGAAATCCAATAACCTTTATTCTATCACCTGTTATTTTTACTTAAACTTTCTGTGAGATAATAGCACAGGAATACTAAACCATCACTGAAGAATCTTTTTCCAAAGACTACTCTCTCAGGAAAACCAAATATTTAAACAACGTACTAGCAAATAGTCTGTTAGAAATATGATAGAAAAGAAAGAATATCAGTAAATATCTAAGAGTAAACATAACAAAATATGTAATACTTTAATAAGAAAACTATAAAGCTTTACTTAGGAATACAAAAAACACCTAAATAATAAATTGAAAAGTTATGAACAGTTTCTAGACAGGAAAAATTACTGTAAAGATGTGATTCCAAATTAATAAATTTAATTCTTTTTTGAAACTTTACAAAATGATTCATTCATGTACCAAGTTTATACCCATAACAGCTAAGAAATTTCTAAAAAAGAATAAAGACTAAAACAATGCCATTTAAGGTAAGAAAATAGATTATACAATGAAGAATGTTGATAAAAACTGGATAATTTAGGAAAAAAATATCATCAGTTCTCCACCCCATGGTATGCCCTACCCAAAATGAATTACAAATTAAAGACTTAAAAAATAAAACAAAGGGCGCCTGGGTGACTCAATGGGTTAAGCGTCTGACTCTTGGTTTCAGCTCAGGTCATGATCTCATGGGTGGGGAGATCAAGCCCCACAACATGGGCTCCACACTCAGCCAGGAGTCTGCTTGAAGATTCTCTCCCTCTGCCCCTCCCCCAACTTGCACACATGTGCTCACGCTCTCTCTAAAATAAAGTCCTTTAAAATAAATAAGTAAAACATACAATTACCAAAACATGTAAGTGAATAAAAAAAAAAAAATCTTGCTTTGCCGGAATATTTTCTAAAATTGACATAAAAGATGAAAGGACTAATGTTATCACATATACCTTGAAAACGTCTGTAAAACATTACCAGTCAAAATTTAAAAGGAAAAAACGGAAAAAAGGTTACACTATGTAGAAGCACATAAAAAAAAAAACAGTAATGCGAACACAACAGAAAACTGGACAAAAGATATAAACAGTAAACAAAAAGGCTTAAAATAAAGCTACCATAAGAAGCTAGAAAAAGTATACATTAAAACCAAAGTAAAAGAAATAAAGCAAAGAGGTGAAATCAGTAAAATAATAAATGAACAAGCAAAAGTTGATTCTTTTGGGGGGGTAAATCAATGAAATTGACAAACCTCTGGGTAAATAATGAAGAAAGTGAGAGAGAAACCACAATTTGCCAATACCAGGGGGAAAAGAAAAGAAAAGAAAACAGCACTAGAGACTCCAGAATTAAAGAATAAAAGTGTATTATGCCAATCAAGTTAATAAGACTGTAAATTAAAAGGACAATCCTTAAAAGATGCTAATTACCAAAACAGATATCAAAGAAAATATAACATCTGAATAATCCTACATTTATTAAATACACTAAATTCCTAAATGAAAGTCTTCCCACAAAGAAAGCTCCAAGCTTCACTGGAGAATTCTATGAACCATTTAAAGAAAATCTCTTTCAGAAAAGAGGAGGTGGGGATATCTCCTAACCCACTGTATATGGCCAGGATTACACTGATAGCAAAAGCAGACAAAGACTAGTCAAGAAGACTATAAGCCAGTAATTCTCACAAAAATAAATACAAAAATCCTTCACAAAATACCACCAAATAGAATCCAGCAATATATAAAAAGGAAAATACATAATGACTAAGAGGGGTTTATCCCAAGAATGAAAGGTTGGTTTACTATTCAAAAGAGTCGATGTATTTTACATTAACAGATTAAAGGATAAAAAAATGATCTTTGCAATAGATATGGAAAAAGTATTTGAAAAATTCAACTGCCATTCATGAATAAAAACTCTCAGCAAACTACAAATAGAGAACTTCCTCAAACTAATGGTGAACATTTGTAAAACAACTCCAACCAAAACTAGAGACTTTTCTCCTAAGATCAGCAAAAATCCCACTGTCAACCAGTTCTACTCAATATTGTGCTGAACATCCTAGCCAGTGCAATAAAGCAAGGAAAAAGAGAAATAAAAGGCATGGAGACTGAAAAAGAAAAAAAAAAAAATTTCATATTTGCAACATGATTGTATCCTATCTACATTATCATAAACACTAATATGTAAAAATCAGCAAAATCACAGGATACAAGATCAATATACAATAATTAATTCTACTTCTACATGTTAGCAATAAACAATTGGAAAATGACATTTAAAAAATACCATTTATGACAGCATCAAATACCATGAAATACTTAATGACATTTTATTTTATTTTTTTTTAAGATTTTATTCATTTATTTGACAGAGAGAGACACAGCGAGAGAGTGAACATTTTAAAAAAAACATGTGTACGATCCTGTATTGAAAATAAAAGGGGTGCCTGGGTTGCTCAGTCGATTAAGCATCCAACTCTTGGTTTCAGCTCAGGTCATGATCTCATGGATCATGGGTCGTGAGATCAAACCCCTTGGGCTCCACGCTCAGCAGGGAGTCTGCTTGAAGATTCTTTCCCTTTGCCCCTCCCCTGACGCGCACAGTGCGCACACATGTTCGCTCTCTCTCAAATAAATAAATCTTGAAGAGAAAAGGGGGAAAGGGAAAGGAAATTAAAGAAAATAGGGACCCTAGGTGGTTCAGTCAATTAAACGTCTGCCTTTGGCTAAGGTAATGATCCCAGGGTCCTGGGATCAAGCCCTGCATCAGGATCCCTGCTTGGCAGGGAGTCTGCTTCTCCCTCCCCCCTGCCCCCTACTCATGTACACACACTCTCTCTCTCAAATAAAATCTTTAAAAAAAAAAGAAAAAAAATACAGAACACTGCTGTGAGAAATTTTTTTTAGAAGACTCAATATTAAGATGTCTCAATTTGGGGGTCCAGGATGGCTCAGTTAGGTGTCCAACTCTTGATTTTGGCTCAGGTCATAATTTCAGGCTTGTGAGATCAAGCCCCACATCAGGCTCCATGCTGGGCGTGGAGGTTGCTTAAGATTCTCTCTCCCTCTCCTGCTGCTATTGCCGCTGCCCCTCCCCCCGCTCAGGCACACAAGCTCTCTCTCAAAAAAATGTTTAAAATTTTTTTAAAAGACATCCCAATTTGATATATAGTATCAATGTAATTCCAATCAAAATCCCAGCAGACTCTTGTAGAAAATAAGCTGAGTCTAAAATGTACAAAGGACATGCAAAGATCTTGGAATAAACAATAGTTTTGAAAAAGAAGAACAATCAGACTCCTACTACTTGATTTCAAGTCTTGAATAATCAAGACAGTGGGAGTGGGTATTGGTGTAAAGGTACATATACAAATCAACAGAAGAACAGAATCCAGAAACAAACTTACATGTGCTCATACAACTGACCACTCATATGAAAAAAAAAAATAAACCTCAACCATTACTTAACAACAAACACAAGAGTCTGCTCGAAACAGATAATATACCTAAGTATAAAAGCTAAAACTTGTTAAGTTTTAGAAAACAGAAGTCTCACACACAAACACCCACCACACACACACACATGCCACACCCACCACACACACGCCACACCCACCACACACACGCCACACCCACCACACCCACGCCACACCCACCACACCCACCACACCCACCGCACACACACATCACACACACTCACCACACACACCACACACCACACATACCACACACACACAATTAAAAGGGACCAAAATTCTACAATGGGCAAAACTACTCAACATCTGTAATTGTAGTCTCAAAAAAGAGGAGAGAGAAGGGCACACAGAAAAAAAA